ATGGAAAAATGCAAAGCATCTTATATTTTTGTAAAACAAAATATATAGTTCAAAAACAATGATGTCTCTGTGAAAGGGATACATAATAAGGTGAGTACAAGAAGTTTTTATAAGAAGAATAGTTTAAACACAATTTTTATTTCAATGGGGACAAAAAAAAGGTGAACCCTACAACGAATTTTTAAATAACCAATTAGCGCACACACACACTTTCTCTGTCTATCAATAAAATCGATTGAAAGATGGCAAATACGTACGGGTCTATAGAAATATCAAATTGCAATAACAAGGGTATAAACAACTCATCAATACGGAAAAGAACGACCATTTTTATTTTTGTTGATATCGAAAAATACGAGGGAAGATCATATATTTATCAAATTGGATGGACTAAGGCACTAAGCCTAGGCGTGTTGTTAACATGCATTACTAATATTATATTTCTGATGTATTAATAAAAGTGATCAATTCCAAACCAATAACCCGTTTATTTCAACCTTGGCCGTCTTTCATTCTAAGGCGTTTTAAACATTCGCAGACAACTCAGGACCGTTTTCCACATTATATATAATTATATATATATATATATATATATGTATGTAACTATGACATGTTCTAAGAAAAAAAAAAGTATGACATGTTCTGATGTTCATTGTTCATATCTATTTTTTCCTACGTGCGTTAGGAAAATCCGATATGTGTACAGTAATCACATCTAATATTTATATCATTTACTTCTAGGTTATAATTAGCATATAACACACCATTGCCGTGCTAATAATACACTTGGAAGAGTGAGATTTTCATTAGAATCTCTTTAGAAAACAGTATGATGATCTTGTTGAGCCAAAGTCCAAAGTAGTTTCCTATGGAAGAGTTGAATCTTTTCACTATTAAAAACCAGCTGGTACAGTGAATGTCCATTTCAAAATCACGGTGAAGAACTCATGCTGTAATCCTTGTAAATCTTTCGTCATTAAACCACCAACAAAACGTAATCGGAACAAAATTATTAAAACGATACAAAGTAGTGTCAAGGATATATAGCAATACAAAAGCTGAAACGAAACTATCAGTTTTAATATCGCTACTAGTTTCTTTCTTCTTTTTTTTTTGTGATAGATAATTAGCAAAGGTAATATATATACTGCAATGATACTAGATTACCACAAACTCAATATATCCGTTATCACTTTTTATTACTAAGAAAAATAGGAACAGAAAATAACGGGACATGGTCCAAAGAAAGAAAACAAAATTTTGAAAAGGGTCCCATAACATGTCCTCTCTAACGTCAACATCATCCTCTCCATTACTACTATTACTTTCACCCTCTCATCAAACTCACTCCAACCTTTCTTCTTTCCTTATTACCTAATTCATCAGATCCATAAAACAAAGTAGATCCCCTTAAACCTTTCTTCCCCAACATCTCTCACTTCCTCTCTCTCCCTCTCTCTACACTCAACAAGATCATAGCATGTCCTCTCCAAGAGAAAGAGGGAAGAGCTTGATGGAATCATCAGGGTCTGAGCCACCGGTGACACCAAGCCGTTACGAGTCTCAGAAGAGACGCGACTGGAACACTTTCGGACAGTACTTGAAGAATCAGAGACCACCCGTGCCCATGTCTCACTGCAGCTGCAACCACGTGCTTGATTTCCTCAGGTACTTAGACCAGTTCGGTAAGACAAAGGTGCACGTGCCTGGCTGTATGTTCTACGGCCAGCCTGAGCCACCTGCTCCGTGCACGTGCCCTCTCAGACAAGCTTGGGGAAGTCTTGACGCTTTGATCGGACGGCTGAGAGCGGCTTATGAGGAGAACGGTGGATCTCCAGAGACTAACCCTTTCGCTAGTGGAGCGATAAGGGTTTATCTGAGAGAGGTTAGGGAGTGTCAGGCTAAGGCTAGAGGGATTCCTTACAAGAAGAAGAAGAAGAAGAAGCCAACGACGGAGATGGGTGGTGGAAGAGACGACTCTTCTTCTTCCTCATCCTCTTCCTTCAGCTTCTCTTAAGAGGTTCTCCATCTTTATCAAAGACCTTTGTGGTAATTTATTTCTCCATTAACTATGTTTTTTTTATTTTAATTTTATTGAATATATATATATATATATATATATATATATTACTTCGTTCGTTACTACAATAAAACTAAAACAATA